AGGTACTTCAAGAAAACCGGGCCAATATGACCGCGGTTCAAACAGCCGCTTAACACATGCGCCAGTACAAGAAGAGCAAGTTAGCTAACAGATGGTGCAGTCCTCTACAACTAAGCTAAGGGGGCCATATCAGAAACATAAAAGATTTAAAACAGACAGCCCTAAAACCTCCCAAGCCAATCAACAGATCAAATGCGCGGCGACGCATTAACCGCTATCGATATCAGCGTCACCTTACTCATCAGACTCGACAGCACCTCTTCTTAACCTATCGCCCTAACTACATCCTCCTTATCCAGTAAGAGATTCCAAAGCAGTATCTCGATATTGACAGCCAGGCCAAGAAAGGCATCGCATACTTTACTCAAGCTAAGGGTATACTCAGGCCGGTTACCGCCAATACTTATGACACATTTAAGAACAGACCCGACCTCTTGCTAGATAATCTTTAAGAGCTGCGTCTCCACGTCCTGCTTCGCAGCTTTGAATAAATCCGCGGCAAATCGGACTATATCAGTTACGGCATCCCTTAGAGCGTTCTCATTCTTCCATACTACGGCATCAGGCCAACCTCTACGCTAAAGACGCAACATTTGCCACAGGATAAGCGATACGTCATTACAAATCTCGCTCAAACCACTAGAAAGCAGAGTATTATAATGCGTTCCAGGTGACCTAGCTAACCTTTGGCTCGAAATGACCCGCTTGGCACAGTTTTACAGATCAAGCAGTGCGTCAGAGTAAAGCCCTTGGTATTCTAGCAGATATTTAGTGCAACTACGTCTAGTTAAGCTTTAGCCGGGACTTTATGGTAGAGGAGACATAGACGGTGACGCTATTAGGGTACATAATTAGTATAGGTATAATTATTTGCGACGAATATAAGGACGGGTTAGGCTAGAAGTAAAAGTTATCCCTCACCTAAGAGTGATCTAGAAATCTCCATACACCGGCGCCTCATTTCAACCATCCTACTCGTCTTCCCAATCACCCCTCAACATACCGCAAGTTTCAGCTCCGATCAAAATCTACAGCTGCCTCAGAAGACTAGCATAGGAGTAGTAATTCATCGCGTGACTTAGATAAAAGCCATTAACTCTTAGAATAGCAACGAATCCACGCCCTCCTAGAGGACAGACCCTCACTATAACAGGTAACTTAGGTATACTACCAAAGCTCTCCCCGAGCCTAAGACTCTCAAACTTCCAGGCATCTCCCTTGCAGTTATCGGACTTGCCCGCGCTTGGCAACCATATCTTGCCCGCACAGAGCAGAACATCGGGCTCCTTATCGCAAATGATCTACGTCGACGCGCAAAATAACTCTTCGAGCTCGTCATCTCGGATCTTTGCAACGTCTTCAGACACATATGGCAGCAAGTCGACGATAGTAATATCGGTCCGAATATCGAGGGTTTCACAGGATACCGCCCTGAAAACGTCATACAGGGCATAAAGGGACTCACAGTCCCCAATAACGGCATCGAGGCCCTCCTCAAATAAGTGATTATATCGGGGTTGCTGTAGGGTAATGGCGATGCCGCCCTTGACTACTAGGCCTACGAGCTTTACAGTGGTTTTTATCTCGTCGCTAGATCGCCTAAGGAACCATCCCCGAGCCTCAATGCGGGAGATATAATTAAAGCGCTCTATTTGGTAGTGAGCGACGGGCTTAAAGAGTCATCGGATCCGGTGGTCGATAGCCACATCGAGGCAGACTTTGGGTCTTATTTCCGAAGTCATTGAGTTGGCTCTACGGGAGGATTATAGTAAGAAAAAAAAAGAAGAGGGTAACACTTTTCAAGCAATTATGGAAGAAGGTCAGAGCCCAATATATCTCTTTACACCGAGTTTCATGATATTCCATCACACCAACGGTCTATTCCGCTCTAAAAATGGATGCACCCCTTCTAGGACATCGATATGGTACACCGAATAGCCGCTATGGCTACAAGACTTCCTCACGGTTGGCTCCGTAGCCTAGACGCTACAGGATCCTTTACAAACCCTAGTGGCCAAGGCAGACAGCCTGCAGGTATTATGGCTACGAGAGTCACGTCATTGGCCGGTAGAAAATAGGCTAAACATCACGGTAGCTGAGTTTAAAACATATTCAATAGGCTAATATATTGAAATAAGGCTTAGCAATACGCACCTTTTGGATGGACCATTATAGATGCGATAGGCTGCTTCTCTTCTAAGGTTATTTACCCGTGGGTCTAGATTAAAAAGAGACCCACTATTCTAGTGGGCGGCAAAATTCTGGGACAGGTGCATTATTATGGGACAGTCAATTCTGGCTTTATTCCGGCTTATAATAAATAGAGAAAATACTAGCTAATAGAGCTGACCTGAGGCTTATTAGAAATTATCTTGATTTTTCTCTGCGATGCGTGGCTGTTGAGAAATATGTTGTTAAAATTGAGGCTTCTCCTGGGTCGTGATTTGTATGAAATGACTACTAAAAAGAGGAGATTTTAATGATTTTAGTGAAACCACCAGTTTTAAGAACTACTTTTTAAAAATTTAAATAGTAATAGAAAAAACTTTGATAAGTAAGTCTATGTTCTTAATTTTATCGTAGATATTTTGCTCGTATTTATTTATGATGTTAAAAGTTGGGCTGATTTTGGTGAGAACCCGGCTAAAAAACCTATCCCATAATAATGCACCTGTCCCAAGATTTTGCCGCCCACTAGAATAGTGGGCTCCTTTTAAGCCGAGCCCACGGGTAATTAAATGCGGGTTAGGCAGCTAGGGGCGGTGTCTACTACCTATGTATGCACCGCCACCACTATCGACGCCGCCGCTGCCACCTCAATAACTCTGGAAAGGAAAGCTCGTTAGATGCCCCTTTAGCCCACCTTCTAGACGCCTGTGTTAAGGATGGAGGCCTCCTAGCAGACAGATCACGGTCACTCGATTATCCCCGCTTTGTTTTCATTATCTCTCTGCCTCTCATTTCTGTAGCTATCTAAGTCGCAAAATCAAGCAGAATATTCGCAGTTAATACGCTCCGACGATTGATGCCTCATTTTTCTCCTCTTTCGAGGCACCGGGCTTCCTCGCAAGCCCCCGTCACGAGATAAGGAGGGCGTTGGATCACCCGTCGACCACCTCACCCGTCTCTCCAACACGCCCGATAAGCGTGGAGTTACTTGGGGCTGACGGCCTGATGGAGTGATTGCTTCTTTTATTCGTCGCGTTGGTTGCCGGTGGGTGACAGGCGCTTCGAGGACAAGGTTTAATTGGCTAGCATTGTACCCATGACAACACTCGGACAGCAGTGGCTTGAAGGAAGAAGCAAGTCATGGACGTCTATGTCTGGTTGTTCAGTAGGGCTGAGCCAATCATTTCCCAACATGTGGGATCGGCGGTGGTGAGGCTGTGGGAGCTATTGATTGTTTGCTACCACACCTACGGGGGGCTAGTACTATGGAGGGCCGGGTAATGGCTTCCTAAGTGAGTCGTTTGGCCTTAAGTTGTTCAAGTCACGGAGCGATCCCGCTCGTGTGGAGAAGGGCGGCAAGCGCCGCGCCACTTTCTCGGTGATCGCACTTCCTCCTGCATTGCAGGTGTTGGCTGTAACCGAGCTTCATGTCTGGCCTCACACGTTATGAATACCGATGAGTGGCTTCGTGTACGGCGGCAGCCAAGGTGGATAAAACCGACAAGCTGCGGCATTTTCTCAACCAACATTGCTGAAAGTTCATCGACCCATTGCTGCCTGATACTCAAGCCTGCGGCCACACCAAAGCAGTCATAGACTTTGCTGACCGAATTGCACATTGCTTTTGTCGAGCTGAGTCGGCACTGTCAGGTTGCAGGGGCACCTGATCAACTGTAGTACGTTTGAAGGAGGTCCGAGCGGTGTGTCAGTGACCAAATGCCCCTTTTTGTGTTGCTCAAGACGCGAATCCTGACGTGAAATTGGGCCCGGGAGGGGACTTCCTTCCGTCGTTGCAGCCTGATGGCTCTTGGCATTTTGTGGATCACTTTTGTAGATCATCTTTGCAAGTAGGGGCTCTGATCGCAACAGTGCGTCCGCGATTACCAACTATAATAGGTATAACAGCACCTACTCGCAAAAAATCCTAATGTACACACGCGTCTTCACGCGTCTTCACGCGCCCCAGACGTGTAAATGAGTAATCTATCAAAAAGCAAGCTGCGGCCATTCAGGTTTCGTTAGGTTTAGCTCTCGGAAATAGAACGGAATTAGTGGTTTGGACGTCTTTTACATGGGCAGGCGATAAGTTAGGGTACGCGACAATTAATAATAGAAGAGTAGGGTTAGTGATTGGCGGAGAAGTAGAAATGCGGCGCACTTCTGGCCTACATTCTTGAGTAGTAATCCGAGGTTCCGATGAGTTTTTTTTTGCAACTTTGTTGAGGTGGCGGTGGCAGCGCCAACCGGTGGTGGCAGTGCGTGCATTGGTCTGACAGCGAGACCATCCATGGCGACCCGATGCGTGCTCGATCGTGCCTCCCCTCTTCTTCCTTCCATGTCCAAATACGAATCGGCCAAAAATCCTGTTGTGATGGCCCGCCTTTTCATTAGATAGCATGCAATGGGAGCAGATTTTTTATTAATTTCCAACTTTAGATAATTATTTGCGGCTATTTTCGTGGAGAGATTGAACAGTGTTGGCCCCAGTTTCGGAAAGTGAGGCCGACGATGTGGGCTCAATAGGCGGTCGCCATGTTCTGATGACCCACTCTAGCCCCTACGACTCATCAGTCAATCACCAAACCTCAGGAAAGGATTGGCAGAGCCGAGGACTTAAATCCAAAACCCCTTCTCCTCACCTCCAAGACAAGATGTTCTTACAGATCCAGCGCATGCTCCCCCCTCCTCTCAACCACGGCCCAGGTCATTTATGACTACTACGGTAGCCAAGTAAAATTTATACTCGTTAATCGAATTCGGGAAGACGACACTTTGTTACCCCTCTTTGACTACGTGAGATCAAGATATTTGAGAATCCCCGTCAGGCTTGCATGCTATGGTATGTTAGCTGACATGCTGTTCTGCGGCATCTATAGGGAGAGTTCTAAGGAGATTCCGATTGCGACGATATCTTGCAGCATTTCCAGCAGCGAGGAGAATCACGCTGGATATGTCCGATGTAAGTACTACGATCTGAGACAGTATCTGTTGCTAATAACGATATCAATAGCATGTAAGTCTTGCGCTGCCGATAAAATAGAGCTATATGGTTGCTGACCCTGGTTGTCCCTGGCGACGTAGTTGGTAAGTCTTGCTATACTTAGGAAACGGAGAGATATAAGTGCTAACCCTAATTGTCTCTGGTGATATAGCGGGCAAGTCTTGCTATGCTGAAGCGATAGAATGAAATGGTTGCTAACCTGGGTTATCTTTGATGATATAGGATGTTAGTCTTACTGTGCTAATGAGATATAGTGATACTATTGCTGACTATGGTTATCTTTGGTGATATAGATGGTAAGACTTGCTCTACTGTGAAGACGGAGTGGCATGGTTACTAACCCTAGTTATTTTTGGCGATTAGTTAGTAAGTCATACTATCCTGATGCTATAGAGCAATATGGCTGTTAACGCTGGTTGTCTCTGGTAATATAGGCTGTATGTCTAACTATACTGACGAGATAGAGCGATATAGTGCTAACCTACTTGTCTCTAATAATATAGGATGTAACTCTTGCTGTCCTGACGAAATAGATGTAGTTGCTAACCACGGTTGTCTCTGGTGATATAGTTAGTAAGTCTCGCTATGCTGATGAGACGGAGCGATATAGTTACTCACCCTAGTTGCCTTTGGCGATATAGGCTGTAAGTCTTACTATGCTGACGAGGCGGAGTGATATGGTTGCTAACCACGGTCCTTGGCGGAATAGCCTGTAAGCCTGGCTATTCTAATGAGACGGAGCGATATGGTTACTGATCCAGGTTGTCCTTGTCGATATAGATGGTAAGCTTTTAGATGCTGATAAGACGGAGCGATGTGGTTGCTAACCTTGCTTGTTTGGGGATTAGTTGGTGAGCCTTGCTATCCTGATGGTACAGAGCGATATAGTTGCTAACTCTGGCTGTTTTTGGTGATATAGTTGGTACGCCGTGCTTGTGCGGATAAGGCAGATTGATACCGTTGTTAACATCGTCTTTTAGGAGGTATGTATTACCATGTTAAACGTAATGACATCGCTGACCGCATTGTTTATTCTGGCAGACTGTGCGTTAACCTGTACACATGTGTAGCACTTAACGCTGATATAGATGATCAAATCCAGCTTGCCGACCAACAGTGGACCTACCCGCCTCCCGATACATATTCAAAAAATTGGCCACGGTTTCTCCTGCGTTTGGAATTGTTTGATGAAGCCTCTTCACAACTATGCGATCGCTGTCTCAACATCGACCTAAATATCACTCTTGCTTCGCTACATGATCCAAAGGATGGCTGTGCTCTCTGTCAACTCCTTTCCACATACCTCAACAAGGATGATATCAAGGAGCCTGAGATGCGACTTCTTGATTCCCGGGCCTGCGTAAGGATCTGCGCTGTACCCGGTGTGTGAAACTGCCATTTATTGAAGATACTGGACTAAACAGCTGATTCTTTAGGATGGTGCCGAGACGCGTCACTTCAACCCGGACTTCCTGGATTTCTAAAATCGGGTAGTCCGAGTTATTTCCGGTTAATCAGGGAGTGGCTTCGACTTTGTGATAATGGCGAATGTTCGCGCAGCGGTGGATGCTGTCCTAGGCCTATAGGTGCTCCAATGCCAACCCGGCTCATTGACGTGAGAAAACACGAGGTTGGCAGCGACACCGTGCGCCTCATCTTGGCAGACGAAATGGGACAAGGATTACGCTACGTTGCCCTATCCCATTGCTGGGGCAAGCCAACGAAGGAACAGAAAGACTATTGGTGCACTACACGCAGCAACTTGGAAGCTAGGACTCGCGGATTCCTTGTTGAACAGTTGCCGGCGACATTTCAAGATGCGGTCAGAGTCACTCGAGAACTCCGCCAGCCATACCTCTGGATCGACTCGCTTTGTATCATTCAAGGCGACGATAAGGACTGGGAAACCGAAGCCAAGAATATGGAAACGGTCTTCAGGAACGCTTACTGTACGATTGCTGCCACCTCAGCCGAAGACTCAACCAAAGGGTTTCTCAACCGACCAGTGGAACAGTCAGACTTGCAATACGTGACAGTGCCCAACTCCTCACATGGCAGAGTCTACGTTTGCGCATCTCTAGATGATTTCTCTGGCGACGTGGAGAAGGGTATCTTGAATACGCGGGCGTGGGTGTTGCAGGAACGAGCCTTGTCACACCGAACAATCCATTTCACGAAAAGGCAAACCTACTGGGAGTGTGGCGGTGGGGTGCGTTGCGAAACACTAACTTACATGCGAAGGTGAGTCCACATTGAGCTCAACTTAGACGCGCCGCTTCTTGTCTTCGCAATTCGCTTTCCTTTATCATCGCCGAGTACTTACGTCAAGCTTGCTAATGTCGAGTAAAACCAGAGCAAACTTCTTTTCCTTAGAATTCCCTCAATCTCTCTTTGCGAAATACTCGAACCTGGGTCTTACGAAGGAGACAGACAGGCCCGTTGCGATTCACTCACTACTCATGGCGTTGGCCAAAGCTTACAATACCCAAGTCATTCACGGCATCTTTGAAGTTGACTGGCGCACAAGTCTCATGTGGCAACGGTCTCAGAACCCCATGAAGCGGATATCTTTCGGGTCCAGTCAGCCGCCTCCATCGTGGTCCTGGATGGCATACGACGGGCAGATTAAGTATCCGAAAATAGAAGATATTGGGTGGACTTCCATTGACTGGGATCGGAGCTTTATGCTGGCATGGAACTGGGAGAATAATTGCCACGTCTTGAAGGCTCAAGTGAAACGGCTTCAAGATTGCGAGGTCAAACATGAGGGTTTGGAACATATTATTCAAGATGAGAACGGTGATGAAGTCGCGCATCTGTGGTTTGACCAAGAAAAGAGGGCTTTGATAGGTGTATGGTATGCTATATTGGGAAGAGAGAGGGGGCGAGTGGATGGTGAATGCAAATGTTGGGTCCTGATTGTCATGGAAAGCCCAGACTTCAGGTCATTGAAGAGGGTTGGAATGGGTTGGATCCAGCAGCGTTTCATACTGTTTGATGGCCAAGACGAGGCGGTACAGATCATATAACGTTACGTTAATGGTTCTTTTTGAAAGAGCTTGAATGCTGGTGGTTGTGTCTTGCTGGCTGTGGGGCCCAGTTTATACCAGAATCTACCAGCCAATTTGCAACTGAACCTGGTGCTACGACTGTAATTGACTCGGGCTGATAATTTCCCCTGTCCAGCGTCTGAAAATCCGTCGGCAATGATGGTCATCGAGCCAAGGGAGAGCAATGTCTGAGCTACAGGGTGACTTGATAAAAACCGCTTTCATTGACTAAGTTAGCGGACATAGCAAGGGCTAAAGGAGACAAGAGCAATGTATGGATATCGCATATCAAGCCCTAGCCTCACTAGGACAGCTGCCTGCAAGGCAGCTGCTACTGCCTAAACAGGCAACGCTTTTATTTGTGTATAAAGAGCTGCACGACTCAGTGCATCTTATCACCGAGTTCTTACTCCTTAGATAATTCTCATTAATTTAAAATACTACGTCACCCCTTGCACTTTAGAGCGGTGGTGCAAGGGGTACAACCCGCCGAAGGCTGAGAGTCCGCGGGCCAAGCAGTTATCTACAACTATTACATCTACGCTTCGTGGTTAGCCTGAACAAACTACTAGGGCCACAGAACAAACTATTATGTTTTACCCGACTCAAACTAGACGCTAAATCTATAGCAAAACTACTAAGTATAAAATCTAACTATACAATAGGGTATTTTAATTCATCTTACCTATTTACTATTAGGTTTTATTTCTTATTGTTGTTATCTTCGTCTCGTAAAGTTATTGACCTTGCTGTCGACCCATGTGTTGCAGCTAATTAGAATTTAGCGGTCAAAATATGACCGTTTTCGGAATGGTGGGGCTGGAATTCAGCCAATCACGAATTTCGCGGCTACAATCAATCCCTTTTCAGAAGCGTAAATCTACTAGTCCACATATAGTCTAGCGTATTATTCCAAGAAGCTAAACCGAAAGGGAGGGAGACGCATTGATTGCCCGCCAAGGCCTGGATGAGGTTCTTGTCATGCTTATCCAAGGCCGTGCTGACCTTCCTGAAGAGATGCCCTACCGTCGTACCTAGAGGCTCGCTCTTTGGAATGCTCATTATTGCCGTACGCACTTCCAAAGACCGATGGACCGTCATTGTTGCGATTTCTGTTGTTCCTGGTCTCTTCCTTGTTGCGACAGGTGTTCCGAATGCTCCAAACTTTCTCCTTTCTCGCCGTCCTTGCCGTTCAAGGAACCATGGGTTCAAAAGGGCCTTCACCGTAGAAACTGGCCACATTCCACATGATTTTAAACCCGCCTGGATAGCCTCTGGCTTCATGGCTTCCTTACTTGCTTCTGCATAGCAAATGAGAAGGTGTGCCTTGACGATCGGTCTGTTTTCCCTAATATTGACGATGCGAGGAACTTTCTTTCGGTAGGTATATAGACTTCGGGACGCCAAAAACCGTGAGATCGAGCGGTTAAAGAATGCGAGAAGTGCGAGGGGGACCCATAAGATGTGAATATCGTTAATAAATCTGTTATACTTAAAATCGATGCTTTCGTGGCTCCCGTGGCCAACTATAGGAAGTCGTTTCTGAGGCTTTTGCGGCTTAGTTAATGGGATGAAGATCTTGAGAAGCCATTCCAATGTCGAGTCCCAACCTTTCTCTGATGGTGAGAATTGCCAACCATCGTATTCAACAAGAATCTTTAGAAACTACTAGTGTTTAACCATAAGACCTTTGAAAATCACGGAAGGTGGTAAGGCGCTTCTAGCAGCTGATATTAACTCTAAGATAGAGGTCCAAACACGCGCATCGGGACACTTTACCAGCGCAAATTTATTGTCAGCATATCTGACGACTAAGCTGTTGCTTCCTTCTCCTTCCATAACGCAGATTTCCTCTATATTACGGCGATATTCTTTGGAGATCTTCTTGATCTTGGGAACGGTCATCTTATTAAATATTTCATTCATAGTTAATCAAAGCTCCTTCTACACGGCTGAAATCAATGAACTTGACCTTTTACGTCTTTAAGGGTGAATTTCTACATGAAAAGCCGACAATTCAATGTTTGCCGATCGGTCTATTATCGCCGTTGTTGCTGACGATCCTTTGGTCGAATTCCTTGAGCTGCTCATAACTCTGCGGGAAGCCTAGAGCCTGCTGAGTAAGAGCCCAGTCAGTAAGGTGCTTTTATTGCACTGGCGAGAGGAATTGAAGATACGGTTGAGCCTCTGTGCGGCTTTCTGCACCCTCGAGACGGTCGCGTATGATTGAATGTGGGACTTCCCATTCATCAGCAGCTGCTTTCACATTTCCAATCGTGATATCCTCATCGATGGTAAATTGAGTTTCAGTTTCTGTATATTCGGTATCGCTGGTCCTAAATCTTCAACCAGAATTCAAGTTGGATGGCTGGGGCACGAGAAAAAACGGAGTGTTCATAATGCGAAGTGGTGGTGGTGTGGTAAATCCGGGTGGTTTGCCGTAGCAGTTCGCTGGGTTTGGGTGTTAAGTATTCCCACCTAAAACACCATATTAATCCTTTTGATGTTATCCATGAGTTCTTAATCAATCCCTTAGGCCCTCAATGCATATGACAATTGTAGCTTGATTAGAGAAGATAAATAGCCACCGGAAGTATGAGTGTGATAGTACCCGTCGGCCCGACTTTCCTCCCGTAGAAGACCGAGGGTTTAATTTCTAACTATTCAATGTGGAAAGGTGCCATATATACTAGGATAGCCTACTAACATAGGGTTCAGGGTGTGCGTTGTGGCCTAACTTGGTATCTTTTTACGACGGATTTGGCACCAGCCCGGTGCAAATCACGGTTTCGTTCCCGTTGAATGCTCCAAGAGAAGAAGAATAGTAGCTCGAGGAGGAAGAGGCGGCAGACCAAGGGAAGTTGATGAGGCTGACAAGGCGGAGAAAGTTATCGAGGTTATTATGGCTGACGACGGCAAGATCATCGCTCTGAATTCGACACAGATCATATGCTAATTTAGGTGGAAAATAATGTACCTTTCATCTTATACGATTTCATTGGCTACGCATCCCTATCATGCCCAACTGGAGCGTTGACACAGTCGTGGGAGTTAAGGTCCCCACACATCGTCAGCTTTGCGAATTGCGCAGATTATTGGGCCTTGTTTGTCCAGACCCATTCGTTCTACCGGGCCTTTTGAGAAAGAGATCAACCTAATAACAACCACCTCCTCTCCCGTAACTAGCGTAATAAAATCCTTCTCGCGAATTCTTTGATATCTAAGAGCACTATCAATACCATCCGCATGGCCTTTCCGCACAAAAAGGGTTGAACGAAACTTGAGCTATCGCATACTATATGCGGTTCCTTTACAGAAGAACGACAGCCATACCAGCGGCGGCGAGGGCAGCACCAGCCATGCCTGTCTGACGTGCACCAGCAGCCTTCGAGGTCGTCGTGCTGCTAGTAGTCTCTGTGGCGATCTGGGTCGTAGCAGCGGCGGTATTCTTGACGGTCGACGTATGGCCAACCTTAGTTCCAGAAGCAGAGGAGGTGCTGGCGGCAGCAGCCTCCTTGCTAGTGGCGTTGGTCTCGGTGCAGATAGGCACGGCCGTGGCGAACTTGGTGAGGGTAGGGCACTTGGACAGGGCAGAGACGATCTCCTTAGAGTGCCGAGAGTGCCACAGCTTAACCTTGGATGTGTAGCTGGCGTACTCCTTGCTCAAGCTGGCAGGAGTGCTGAGGTGGCACGGGTCAGTCTGAGGGTGCTTGGACTCGAAGGAGAGGATGGCGCTGCCAGGAGTGGGAATGCCAGTGTAGAGGGATAGGAGAGCGGTCTGGGCAGCCTCGCACTCGCTGGCGAGGGCCGTGGTGGCTCGGGTCTCGATCTCGCGCTTGATTTGGGGATGGGCCATGAAATCCTTGGCCGCGGTCGCCGCGGCCAAGAGGGTGGCGAGGAGGATCTTGGTCTGCATCTTGACGGATCAACGTGATTAAGTGTTGATGCCACAGTATTGTGGCACTAATGGAAGAGAGAGTCCTTGCACAAAAGAAAGCCAGGATCAGCAGTCAAGATTGAGGGTCTGTGAGGAATCCCCCCCTGGGCAATCGGGCAAGAAGTGTCTTTATATGCCCTTCCACCGCAGATAGACTTTCGCGCGTAAGCTTTCGGTCGCCGGCTAACCCCTCTATAACAGGGCTTGAACGGCTCATCGGCGGGTTTTTTCCTGAGCAATGGAAACTTCAATTACGGCTGGTGTGTCCACCCCTGTCTGTAAACGTTTGGGCAAGGGGACCGTCAGGGGAGTGGTTGTAATGAAACTCGGCAACTTATCCGGACAACTAATAATGGGTGGCTGTTGGTTAGCCTTACAGGTCAATGACAGCGCAGTGGATACGCATCAAAACACGCAAGCGAGAGGCTGTAAGGGGATGCATATCCCCTGGGAGGGCATGCATGACTAAACCGGATTGGCCCCCTCGTACTATTAACGACAGGTTTGGAGTTGAGCTCTCCCGTCCCACGTCATCAGCGCAAAGGTGCTTTAAAAAAAAAGGCCTTCCACTAATCCGACTAGAACAGGACGCATTCATCCATGACAGTACGATTTGTACGAGGCGGAACCCAATCCTTAATGCGGGGCTAGCGGCACCTGGCACCAATGTAGCCAAGGCGTGCATCCAGAATGGCACTTCTGGCTCGCCAACTGCGAGCCATGCCGAGAATAGCCAGTCAACAAATATAATAAGTGACAATAGTTTGTGACAGATAATGAAGCTTAATGGATTTCACCACTGCTATATTAATGGGGATTTGCCTTTTCCAGGTCAGTATCCAGATTGTTCTTCCACGAACAAGTCCATACATTAACAGCCCTGTGTACCCGATCCACTATAACTAGCATGACCCCGACAATACAAATAATAAGAAACGGTAATACAAGGGCTATGCAGGTATCCAATGACATAAATGAGATAGACATTGGACTATTATAAGAGGGCAAAGTCGAGTCGTGCAGGTGATCGAAGATCGGTGTCGAAGCCCTGCCGTTTAGGCAATGTAGTGTGAAGTTATCCGGAGGGCCGGCTAGAATCTTAAGTTCGGCCCTATTTCGCTGCGATGCGTGGATAGTACTAGGAGGGAAGTTAGCGCGTGAGCCTTCAGGCCCAAGGCTGGCATTTTACATGCCAAGAGGCATTCCACTTACGAGGCAAGGTGACCACCCGTGCTAAACAAAACGGCGAGGTAAGGAAGCCCAAACCAGCGGTGATTGTATACCTTCAGATTGTGTATTATGGCACCTATAAGTTCATTCTGCCTGCTGGCCATCATGAAGTCGATCGAGAACCCCGTTTGGGAAGCCGCCGGCGCGACGAAATCAAATCGGCGTAGTGGACCAAGGGCTCGCTTGCATTTCAGGTCCATGTCCAAGATAACTCCTATAAGAAATTCATCAATAATCCGTGCGATATGGAATCCGCATTATATGATGTCAAAAGGCGGAGAGATGATTACAGGCCAAGGCTTACCACCGTAATGATATAGCAGCAAATATTTCAACGCGTTTCTCCTCTGAATAGGAAACGGATATGCATCCCATGTCGCCTTGAAATCAGGGAAATTTTCTTTCACGAACTGATTGGCATTCTCGTCTGTCCATAGATGATGTTCCCACCCAGGGTGCAAATTTAGACAGCTGTTTCTTGACTCATTCCATGTCGCGCGCGCCACGGCGGAGTCCCATGTTATGTGATGAAGGATCGCTGGTACGCGGTCACTGTACCCCTGGGCGGCGGTTGTTTGAAACTTGTTATAGCTGGCGAAACTGAGGTCAAAGCCATCAGATTCAGAGGATATCAAAAACTGAGCCGAGTTACGGGGCCAGCTGAAGGGGAGAGTGAGGAGCGTCCACGCAGGATAGAGAAGCTTTTGAAAGTGCCACAGCGACAGCACGGCAAGTAAGATGATGCCGACAACCACGAACTGGCGAGTGAAGACGTGACGGGGAAACATGTCGAGCACCATAAAATGACGCCCAGAATTCGCCCCAGGGGAGAATGGCGAGCCTTCTTAGATCTTTAACTGCGGTACTCCTTCAAGCGCGGATCAGTCGGCATACTAAGTCGGAGGAGGGGGGAAGACTGATATCCATCGGGTGAGGTTTCTTGGGGACTGTACCATGATCTAAGCCACGCTGGGCCAGGCGCGTTCCCTCCAGCTTGGCCATGACGCGGCCTGTCCCTCACGCCCCCTGCATCACGAACTATGGATTGGGCTTAGACTTGTCTCAATCGCCGTCGTCATCTCGACGGGTCTAGTGCTCGGGTAGGTGCCACCATTGGCCGGGGGCGGCGTCGTAGCGTCCCAGTGCCGGTTAAAACGAGGTTCCAGATCCCGGTGGCGTTGATGTCACAATGAGTGTGTGCCCAATTATAGGTTAGGGCAGGTTCTCACGCTTCGTGCAATGCCGTTATGCCAGGCGGTACATGGGCTAACATTCGCGGGCTTGCTACGGCCAATTACATTTCAGGACTGACAGCGACCTGTGATGTGAGGACGACGCCTTGCTATCGAGGCCTATGACCAGTTCAATTAACTCATAAACTTGCGCACTCAGGAAACAAATTCAGCTCCAGAGGCATCATTTATTTCTCGGCTTGTAAATCTGTCTGGGATGATAACCATCTGGCAATACCTCCGACGGCTGGCCACCAGCCTCGTCAACTACGACGCACCATATGATGAAGAGCGCCTAGAATGGGAACCTAGATTTTTTAGGGGATGGTCAAGGAAATACTTAAAGTCCGCACGACTGGGAAGGGCCGCAGTATATCTACTCCTGATAGACTTGGTGATCTTTGGGCTACTGCTTCATACTCTCCATCCGCTTATTACCCTACTACGCCGGAACGAAGTACTATTTAGGCCTCAAGTCACCCTGACTCGCCATGGTACACCGAGAATTTTTAATCGCCCAGATCGATATAAGGTACCGCGAATTTTACACCAAACGTGTGCCAACGAGACGATTCCGGACGCATGGGTTCACTCGCAACGAAGTTGCATCAATGCTTACTCCGATTTTGAGTATAAGGTATTTCACCTGAAGGCCATTCACCGACAGCAGCTCCTCAGATATGCAAGATTCTAACATGCTGTTTGTTCTAGCTCTGGACTGACGAGCGGGCTCGCGACTTTCTCTCCTCCGAATACCCCTGGTTCCTGGATACCTGGGATAACTACGCGTTCCCTATCCAGCGTGCAGACTCTATCCGCTACTTTGTTCTCTATCATTATGGCGGAATATATCTCGATATGGATACCTTTTGTAACGAGGCCTTCCCGATACACCAAATCGAATCTGACACAGCGGCACACACTGCTTTATTTGAAGCAACCCTACCCACCGGCGTAACCAACGATTTTATGATATCATCTGTGAGGCATCCAGCATTTGCAGCAGCCATCTCTCAACTACCCGGCTTTCACAGGATAACTCGGCTCTGGGCTCGCCTGCAGCCCTATTGCGCTATTATGATATCTTCTGGACCGCTCTTCCTAAGTCTAGTGGTGGAGGATTACTTGCTTGTGCAGCCTTTGATACCCTCACCAACAGTAAAGGTCATTAGTTCATCTCAATTAATACCCTATATGACCGACCTCGAATCTGCCACTTGGCATCGAGAAGATGCTCAGGCTTTCATGTGGCTGGGAGATAAACCGTGGGCTTGGTTTGGCTTGGGGGTGGTAGGGCTTGTTGCTTGCATATACGTCCTTAACCGGGTGCTGTTAGTGGTCTGGAGAGCTTTTCTTGGCACAGTCCATTCTACTTCTTACTTGACAAAAGTAGCTAAGCTATTATAGAAGGAGTAATTATGGTGAAGGTCCAACAGACCTTGGATCTTCGAAGTAGATAATCGGATGTGCTCTTCCTAACTTATGCTCGCTGAGGCAGGAAGACTCGAATTCAATGTATTAACTAAGCATCTTGTAGCTGAGCTTCACATCATCTCACAACCTCTTACCATGCCCCCAGTCTCGAAGCGTTGAAAATATCGACAGGTGTGTTGTCAGAAGATGTCGATGCCGCCAGGGCCACAGCTAGTAAGAAGTACTTATGTCAGAGTAATATTCAGTCCTAGATATATGTGTTTCTTAACGTACACCGACAGGGATCGGGTTCCGCAAGCCTGTCCGCGCTCCAAGAGCTAGGTCGCCGGGAAGTCGGCTTCGACAACGTTCCTTAGCGCAGTTGAAGTAACATGCCGGCTGAAGGCCCGGGGGTTCTAGCCCATTCACATGTAGGCATATGGTGCTATGGCGGTGTCGGTGTGTTGGCCACAACGGCGACATGTCGTGGTTTGACTGGTCCAGAGCTAACTTGTGCCGATTTACCGCGTCATGGCACCGTAAAGGTTTATTATTTACCTTCATACAGAAGTGGCGTCCAGCCTGCCCCTCATAATCAGGGCCCCTGCCGTACCAGGTATATTCTTTGACGTCGCTCGAAACTATTGCATTGATGCAGAGAATACGAGCGCCAACTGTTCATAGACAGACAAAATGTTACAGGGCCAGGCTAACCGGCAAAAGAGTGTCCTGCTTGCCATGTTCACCCTGCTGATTTTCGGCCTGGTAATACACATATGGGAGTTTTATTTCTCGCCAGCAAACGACTTGACGTTCCAGTAAGTCGGCTGCACTCATTCAGCTCACCTGATTTCGACCCGTTCAAACAAATGGCTTTACTAGCACATCCATTTCACCCCCGCTCCCAGCGAGGCTCGCCGAACACACGCCGCAGCTTATGCATGATCTATGGACACCTTTTATCCACGATATCAATACTACACATTTCTTGACAAAAGAAAGATATCACTACGAGATTCCGAATGACACACATCATTGGCAGCAGCCCTTGGGCAAGAAACTGCTCATCCTTGATGTGGATACGCGGCTCGACATAGGCCCTGGCGCTTTGATGAACGAATCGTCCTTGAACTCCAAGGAAATGACAGGAAGAACTGCTGGAATGATGAATCACTACCTCTATGGTATCTTCTGCTTGCTTTGTGTCTCTAAAAGAGTATCCTGTTGACTTTTCTCGTCTGATTCAGCTATGATTCACGGGTACGACTACCGATTCATCCGAGCTCCTCCCTACCCCAATCGCCATGGGACCTGGGTCAAGGTCCCAATGATCAAAGAAGCGCTCAAGACTCACGAAATCGTTGTTTTCCTCGACGCCGATGCCATCTTTATATATCCGGAGATGCCCTTCGAGTGGTTGATGAGTCTATGGAATGTGACAGACAATACTCTCGTCGCGATGGCTAGCGACCCGAACTCCCCAAGAAACCGCGACGTCAACGGCCGAGTGATGCTGAATACAGGCTTTATCATCGCTCAGCAGAGCAACCGAACACACGAACTCTTCCACAACTGGGAGCAATGTCCCACGGACAAAAAATACAAAGGATGTAAGCGCTGGGCGAAAGATTGGGCCCATGAGCAAGCCGCTTTCTCGAATTATGTCCGGTACGATTATAATTCAACAGAGGAGGTTGTCATGATACCATGCATGGACGGAAATGGCGCCCCCTACATTGGCGATAAGACATGCGGTGGAGTCTTTGTCCGCCATCACTGGTTTCACAAGGACTATCCTGCCAAAGACTTGCTTCAACTCATGCAGGATACGTTTGTGAGTTGGCTGCACGCAGGGTTTCACCACGACAAGCAAGATAACTTCATAGATGCGAGTCGTTTCACCTACCCGCTCAGACATTTAAATGTATAAGAATATAATAATAGATGGAAAATAGATGGTACCCAGTAATCATAGACCAATGATATATGGACCAATAACCTCTGCGAATTAATATAAATAATTGACCAGCGCTCTCAATGCCGTGATATATGATGTAGAGGCTTTGAAACTTCGGCAAAACACATATACCAAATCGTCACCCACGAGGCTACTTCTTAGATTAACAACGGTACTTGAATTTGCTATAAAAACATGAGTTAATTAGAAATACCTTCGCTTGTTAGTGCATTCAAGAGTCTACAAGAGGCCGAGCCATGTTTTTTATGAATCATGGCTCTTGATACTGGTCGTCTCTACGGCATTGAAAGGCGCCATCAACATCGACACGATGGCCCCGATGAGTTGGAAACTCAGTCTTCTGTGAGCCCGGGATTTCTTAGCCTTGCCTTCAAAGCAAAGGGGGTGTCGAAACGGGTTAGCGGTACGCGCGGCCCCGATCCCCCGTTTAATCCTCCACAATGCTCAACCGTTTAGTACCCGTATTCGATCACACTTTGACTAGTCCCTTGGGCCAACTGAGGCGGAGTCAAGGATCCAGACTAAAAAAGTGGTCCTCGCTAGAAATGAGACGGGGGATCTACCGAGCTCAGCCTCAATGATATATCTTAGCTTTCATTAAGACCCCCTATCAACTGCGTCCCAAAGATGCCGATTATCCAGGCGCTGCGGGCCGATAAGAACTATGAAACGACGATCAAGTGTGAAAATTTTAAGTAAAAGGCCTAAAGTTCTAGCATTTGGACTGTTTCTCGAATTACGTACTAACAGTCCATCGTGTTCCTCCTGCAGGCTGCAGCCACCGCGGTAAGTGCAGCAGAGGAGACCACGTAAGACGAGATATAGCCAAGCGGCGACGAAAGAGTGCCAGGGGTGAGATTAAAGTAGTCATAGGCTTTTGGAAGTCAAAGATTGAAAGAGCGCAAGGGAATATCGCCAAATGACCATTATTAGCGGTACTGAGCAGGTTGGGGATCACAGTATTAAACTCATAATGACTCGCGTAGTTGGTCCGGCAGATCTTCTCTAGACTGCCTAGGATGCCGGTAGCCGATGAAGTGTATATTACCGGAGGATCCTTGAGGGCATCGATTGTAGAGTGTTATTGAATGTGTTTGCTGATCTCGTGGAGGAACTCGTTGGTAAGATCCGAGCGGAAAGGGATAGATAGGAGATACTCGTAGGCTAATTGAGCGGGGATATAAACGATTAAACTCCTACTCTCATCGGCTTGGTTGGATATCCCGGTGATAAGTGCATAAGGTTCGGCCGAGGAGGATATCACTAAGAGCGGCAGCCCTAGGGGAAGTATCAGCGCGAGCAGAGGCCGCATTATGAGCGCTGACAGCAGGAACGCAATCCAAGCGCCAGAACCGATAACAAATAGAGATTTACGCACAGTGAATACGCTGCTTTTAAAATTGGGCTATGGAGAAGGAATAACACTACGTGAGACCGGACCTGATTTGAGCCACCAAGAGCCTCGTATCGTGCCTCGCCTAAAAGTCGAGATGGCATGCTAAGAAAAGCCCCATGGCCAAATCTGAGGATATCTTGCGCCGTGTCGAAACGTGTAACCTGATCGTGGAACGGAACGCGAGCGGAGGACAAGGGCTGGCTTGATATTCCGCGGTGTGTCCACAGATACATCGACGAAAGGACGGAAATTGGCGTGATCGGTGCAGATAATGCAGAGTCAGGTGTTTTGATAGGTTGACTCGGTTTCAGCAAGCAAGGATATGTGAGCAAGCATCCGAGAGTTCCGATGGCATTTCCTAGTTGTAATAGAAACGTCTCAGCATGCTACTTATGGGTCGCGACAACCCTCAAACATGAATTATGTCTGAAGGTTGTCGCGATCTAACTCGCATCCAGTCAGAGACCATAAAGAGGACTTATAGACACTCAGTCTTCGCAAATCACATCGAGTATTGGTCTCGGCCCGGTTGACAAACGGACCGCGCTGCCAAGGATCTCACTAGGTTAAGCCAAGCTACTTGCTGGCGGCATCTATGCAGCAGCATTGCAGCGGGACCCATGCTACCGAGCTCGTGTCTATTCCCTGAAAGGAATAAATGATGCGAAACAGCTCAAAATAGGCCATTCGCATCGCGATGCGGAACTATCGACAAGGAATAAAAATAAGACAGCAGCCCAAGCCCTGTCTCTTAAAAGCTTCCGAACATAATGTATTCAAACCTATCCAGTTTTCGCTCCCTAAACTCCCTTTGAATTCCTTTTAAAAGAACTTGCTAGAACTTGACCTAGGAGTAGACCCACTGCTTTCAGAGCGCCTCAATGATGATAACTCTGCTGCCAGCTGCGGTATCCCCTAAGGCAAATTATCCTACTTGACTATATTCTACGTCTTAGTAGCTATTATAGTCTCGTAAATATCGGCAACCTCCTGGCTATCTTAGATTTCTTCTCTCTGGCGTATGGTACGTAGTAAGGATATTGCTCTGTATTAGACGTCGATGTCTCGGTAGTATGTGTAGACTAGAGAGAGTAATGGCACTAGGTAGCCATTAAAGGTAAACATAGGACTTAGCCTTTGGTGCTCTATCTTAATTAGTACCTTTGCCCTCTGTAGGATCTTCTCTCTATCTTCCCTTGTAATCTCCTAGTCGATCATCTCGAGCTTAGCTAGCCCGAACTAGATAGCCTGGTGTATATCGAGCGATGCGATTGCGCTCTTTTTCTCGGGCGTGGGGTCCTCGTATATCTTTTGATATTCGGTGAGCTCGTGGCGGGAATTCTATATGGCAAAGGCTTGACTTGCGGTATCTAGGGCGGCCTTTCCTGCGCTATAATTAAACGCCGCTGCTGAATGCCTATGGGACGGCGACTCGAATGACCTATGTAGTCGAGGGCTAAATGCGATCCTAATGTAGCTTTTATCGTATAATTCGTTGATGCGCTCTAAAAAGAAGGCTGCTTTGAGTAAGCTAGAAAAAGGTGTGTTAGGGTCGCCTATGTATCTAGTTCGAGGTGGCAAGTCGAGGTTATTAAAGGTGTCGTTTCCCACGTAGATAGTAATATTCTACCCGAGCCAGTAGAGTATTTTAGTGGCTAGGCCGAATAGGGTATATTTAGCTTCTTTGCCCCCCGGGAAGTATAATAGCGGTGTTAGTATATTCCTATATTTCTTTTTTACCTACACGGAGTTAAGGAGCTAGTAGCTAGCCTTAAGGTATCAGATAGAGTCTATATAGCGTCTATATAAGCTCTCGATATAGATAAGATAACATAGTAGATAAGGGTAGTTTATAGGTTAATCTCTGAGTTCTCCTCTATAAGTAGCTTTATATATAGTATAGCCTAGTTATACTTTTAAATAGAGGTATACTTAAATTTGGCGGCTGATGATAATAATATGGCGTTTCCCTGATAATTAACCTAGAACCGATAATATGCTCTATTAAGGGCATAGAGCGCATATTTAACTAGCTTGATAGTATGGGCGAGCGGTAGTATAAAGTTATGCTAGAATATGGGGCTAGATAAGATATTGAAATCCTTGATTATGTACTCTTAGGCGTAGTAGAAAAGGGCGGTATTGGCTAGGGAACTAAGATTCTTGATCGATAGGGTAAGTCTTAGTGCCAAGAGGGCTTAGTAGGCTTGGCTCTTTGGCTTAGATTGGTACTATATAAGCTTTAATTGCTTCTTTACTTTGGGGGCGGGAGGTTTAGGACCTTCATAGCCGTTATATTTCTATCTATCTTTTAAGTATCGCTGGCATATAGGCTTTTGCTCGTCATACTTTAAATGCCGGATTTTGTCGAGGCGGATTAGTACGTAGGGATAGACGATTCGGCAGTCTGCACAACTAACTTGCTGCCAGAGGTAAGCAACATAGTCACAGCAAGCACAGTAGGAATTCAGCGGCATGGCAAGATGGTGACATACCACGTCTTACAGCTAGTCCTCACCCGGGGCGCCTTTGCCCTTGTCTACTTCTTACGTGGCGGTTGCGGAAGCTCAAGCGGAGCCATGTTTCTCAGAGAACTACGAGCGGCCCAATCAAGGCTCCCAATGTGGATTCTAAGAGGTGTACATGTCGCGTGGCCAGACTTGTAGCGGCGTAAAGAAGACTCGGAAAGTTCACATGATATTCTTGGCGGCGCGGCCTCGAGGGTTAAATGCATGGACACGATCCTGGGGGACATGGCGGGTCCGTCAAGCCTGAGCACGTCTATTGGCTGCACCGTAATGAATACGAATACTTTGCCGTTTCCGGTAACTAGATCTCAGTCAATGACAGTTCTGCGCTTGAGCCCTGTGTCGGGGGCGTTTGTCACCGGCGTGGCTGTGTGGTCTAGACCTTTCCACGACTGGTCTCATCTGTCGGTCTGTTTCAAGACCATAGCATCCCTTTTTTGCTCTTCGTTACGTAGTGGACGACGTAACCAAGATTGAGCTGAAACGGATGGCTGTCTCGGAATGCCAAGAGGCTTGGCTCTAGGCAGCTTCCTCGAGGCAAGGCTTTCAGCTTTGGACGAATACCTAACATGCACTTCAGATTGAGGCGTTGCTAGCATGTGTACATCCTGCTGCATCCAAGAACACTACTGCTAAACCTGGCCACGTGGTTACTCTGGAAAATATCCAGACCTGCATTCGAAGAATGAGCCACGAGATACAGAAACCTCGAGACGAGTTCGCAGGAGAAAGCCAAGAACGAAGATGCAAGTAATATATACCTTGCAACGGAAATAAACAGGCTACCGAAGGTCGACAAGGGAAGCGACAAAGGTCTAACCCTAACGCATGATGGTAAGACCCTGGACTCAGAAGGAACGTACACAAGAGAGCAAGATTGATGGCAAGGAAATCAAGGTCTCGATAATATGCAGCATGGTTGCTCTAAGTCAGAAGGTGAGGGTCTAAAGACGACGGAGGAGCTTTTAGCAAATACAGCAATGCTTTCGTTAGAAGTGCATATCGAACCGAGACAATTATAAGGACATCACAGCAAGTAAAGGCCCCGTCCCGCCTCGGAGAAAGGTATGAACTGAGTGAAAGGAAGGAACCGAGTGATAAAATGCGACAGGGACAGGGCAATTTAGTTCCTTTCATCTACCGACTCAAGAGACCTACGTCGGCGACTGGCTCGCGATGTAGACTCGTTCCCCTCTTCTTCCAAACTGGCCCTTGCCGTGAGGGCTTGGCTACGTATGCGATTGCAGTCAAATGTCAACATCTGTGGCCATCGCGTATGACCACAACATAACTAATCATCGCCTCCCAAGCTGAATTCTCCGTCATACAACGCTCATTAGAGGAAGAAGGCTATCATTCCGACTAGCCCTTAAACGGCACCAACCCGCGGCCTCGTTACTTTCCTTCTCACGACATACTGGTCACAATACGAACATGTCACGGATTCCAGACATTAACCAGATACCATCCATGGTACTCTTTATTGAAGTATGCCCGTTTACGTATATCTCCCCGGCTAACTTCTAGCACCTCTAAGCATGGCCTGCGGCGGTAGGAGTTCAGATTAACTATATCGATCACCTCTTGTGATGGGATTATCTTCTAGGCCGTCTTCTGAGGATTTATACTTCAAGTCGAACTGCCATCGGTCTCTCCGAGAGCGCAGAGAAATTCTTCGGGATACTGTTGAGTCATCTTCGTCTTCCGCTCTAGATTCGAGATTAGATTTCCACCGAATTAGTTATTGACTCAAAGAATGCGTACCGTTCTGGGATGAAGTATGCTGCCAAGAAAAGTGCAAAAGAGATAAAAACGAGCGTTAGGAAGACGGGGTCCACCACTTGAGTCAAGTGGGATAGTATATAGGATAGAGATGAACTGTAGATGTGTATGAACCAAGAAGTCCTTTCGTTGCTGCGGCCCCCCCAAGTCTTAGTAGTTGTCATCGCTTCGTCTTTCGTCACCAGAAAAAACGGGCTTGGGTAGGCACCGTAGGCCGCTCGGGATGCCATTATATGATCATTAGAGCCTTTTGTGTTTGGAACTATATCCCAGTTCCTTAGTCGGGGCGAAACAAATGGTTCGGCGATCTTTTCAGGGTAGACTGCATAACGATGAATGCAGTACTTGAATCGGGTGTGCTGTACGGTTGGCGAGTTTGAACAAAAGATGGGACAGGACACGGTTCCCGAGGCCAATCCGAGCAGAGGAGCAATGATCGTAGGTCTCATCTTGCTACCTGATATCGCCTTCTGCAAATTAAGCGTAGTGATATGGAGTGGGAATATTATCGTTTTCACCGTGCAAGACCGAGGAGGGGGAATGCAAATGGCTCTGCGATCAGAGGCTGAATGCACCACGATGCAGTATTTGTGTGCACTCGGGATACATGGCATCCGCGACCTATCATCTCCTGGGACCCTGTCACTCCCATTACGCTCCCGGTCGACCCTCCTGCAGGGTAATGAAGTGAGATCATCCCTACCACGCCATATATGCTGACGCGTCCGTCCTCCGGGCTAGCGGATCGACTTGCATGTTTTAGCAAGGGATTCGCCACATCGCAGGCCTGGCCAACCAGGAGGAAGGCTGCGTATGTTCAACTTCGAGGCCTAGCGGAACTTGCCGCGGCGCAACCTGATGCTTGGGCTCTCATGTAAGTTATTTCTTTTGCAAACTGCTCTTTTTCCCCACTAGACTTCGGCTTAGCTTAGCAGCATGGGAGGCAGAGAAAAGATTTGATGGCGTTCGGACTCTGTTTATACATGGAGAATGCTCGCAGGAGGCCCGACTCAATAATTCTCCTTTGGTAATTGATCTACAAGAGCTTCACGCCACGCTAACCGGGGATAAGCGCATGAAACACGGGTGTCGGAATGCCCCGTATTTAAGCGGTGGGCCCAAGCGTAAAAGACGAAGCTGATGGACGTCTCGTAACCCTAGGCGACTCCACCGGTTTAGTGCCAAAAATGGGGTGTCCTGATGCTCCACTAAGGTCTCAGCCCCCGCTGAATCGTTCACGATGGGAACGCTAAGCTAACCTCCACACGATCTTTCAGTCGAACCAAACAACAGGCTTCCGGTTCCCTTGAGTGTGCCTAATACTGCAGTGAAGCTTCTCGGAAGTGGTATTGGATGCAAACAAAATGAGGGCGCGCCATGGTGAGAGGGGCTGTCTCGTAACTTGTGACTAACTTAGCTTGCTGAATTGCATTGTGCCTTCGCCCCACGTGAGTCAACAGGCAGCACTGCTAGCAAACAAGAGGAACTAAACGTGTCTGTCAAGAATCCAACCGAGGAGAGAGGAAAAGCCATGTCTTTTCTTTGCCATCGATGCCCCTTCTTACCGACTGCTCCCACGTCCTCCTACACTTGCACCGCTACCCTCCCGTTGTTGATATACAGGCGAACATGGGAATTCAAGCCTATTTCCGCGGTGGAAATCTCGCGGACGCTATCGAATACCAGTTACTTACTCCACAGAGAGGTGGTGATTCGTGGCAGGGTGAACACCACCAACCACAACTGGAACTACGAGTACCGGGAGCGCATAAAGGGTTGGTCTACTTTTGGTTCACTGCCGTGTGTGGTACAACGTTGATTGTGTGAGTTCGATGTGTTCAAGATGAGGCTTGCGTAAAAAGTACCTATAGCGGCTGATGCAAGAGATAGGGCGCCTTTCTTCTTGCTGGCTTCCGTCATACTGCCGAAGACTCTCGATGCCTACGAGACCTCACGCTTCGCGTTCGCCGACCGGTTCGAGCAGAATGGAAACTCGACATCTAATGTCGCAGTATGGCTCGCGGAATTATCACCTCTCGTCTTTCCCGTAATGTGCCATTCTCACAATGACTATTGGCGACTTCACCCTCTATTTTCAGCGCTTGCTGTGGGCTGCGCGAGTACAGAAGCAGACGTATGGCTCAGCCCAGATGGAAAGGACCTCTTAGTCGGTCATGATCGACAATCCCTTTCCTCGAGCAGAACACTCCGCTCCCTGTATCTCGACCCCCTGTTACAAATCTTGAATTCGATGAATCCGTTAGTGTTACAGGAGGGCTTGAACTCCACAGCCCAAGCTCGTGGTGTCTTCGCGATCCAGCCGAATACGACATTAATACTGTTCGTAGACGTGAAGGATGACCCGGTGAGCACTTGGCCTTTGGTTCTAGAGCAGCTAGGACCTCTACGTGACAGGAAATACTTGGCTCGACACGAGAAAATGCACACTATGACCACGAACCAGTCATTCTGGCCTGGACCTGTAACTATTGTGGGAACGGGAAATATCCTCAAGCGGCGCGACATCAACATGGGTGCAGACCCAGAAAAATGGCAGCAGTACCACGATGTCTTTCTTGATGCACCTCTGGACTTGCTCACCGAAACCGGATTCAGCCCTAGCAGCGACTTTTCCTGTCACGATGAATCAGAAAACGAGTTCTACACCGCCTCAGCGTCCTTTAAAAAGACCATTAGAGGTGTTCGGGCGGGCTTTAACAAACACCAGCTTATAACTCTGCGAGACCAGATCCAAATCGCCAGACAACGAAACCTGAAGTCAAGATATTGGGGCTTGCCCTGTTGGCCGATATCTTATAGAGACTACGTGTGGAGGATACTTACTCGAGAGGGTATCGATTTGTTGAATGCGGACAACGTGGTTAGCGCAGCGATGAAACATTGGGACTCGGATTACACAAGGGAAGCTGTCTGGATATGTATAACGACATCATATCTATTTGTTTGCTCCATCGGTCTGATCTGGTATACGAGACGATTCACAGATCAACAAGTATCTATTAGATAGACGGACGGAAGCATACAAGTAACTCATTTGATTCTATCAATCCCTGAAGCCTAACATATTGTTGAGTGCCGATGAAGCCCGTACTAACCACCGAATATCATCGTCAACCCCCTTGTACAACCATGATGGTCGCACTTACACCAGAGGCCCTCGACGGAACAAAAGTAACTTCAGTAGAGCGGAGGAGCCGGTTGTGTATACTCACTTATTCTTGTGTACGTAGTCATCAACTGACGACCATGGAGCACTTTATCCACTAACCAGGCTTATGACTTCTACGATGCTAGCCATGCGACACTTTAGCTACATGCCACCAGATTACATCACCTCCGCAGCAAACGTCACAATTTAACACCCTCTACACAATGCCTGATAATCTGTTAAAATATATAAACAAGATGAACTCAGCAGATGATGCAAACAAATGAAGGCCTTATAATAGTAGTCTATACCCCTGTAAAAGTCGCGTTAAGACAATATCTATCCTGCGCGAGAGCAAGATACCTTTTCAAGAGGTCTGTATCCCCTAGGCCTCCTTGGTGCTTGTACTGGAAGTGAGAGGCTAGGGCGTCTCCCCGGATTACGACAGCTGCAAAATAAGAGTGCATTAGCTAGGATGATACGGACCCGGTCGGGGCTCAACTTACGGCGACGTAGCTTCTTGGGAAGATCCAGAACAATCATGTCCTCATCACCTCGACGCCTAGGCCAGTGCTCAGGGTCGGTGTCCAGGATATCATCGGCATAGACGCACATGAAATTGATCCTGATGCGGTCTCCATACATTGTCCACGGCTTCTCAAACTTATATACATCTAGTGCATTATTCTCAATGTTCTCGAGCAAGGAATAATGCATCTGAGCCGCAATAGACCATGTCTGGTAGCTCGGACCCCAGACCTCATACTTGAGCTTGGCAATAGGGGTTTGGTATATCATCGCGTCGTCTTGCACTCTCAGCCATCTGTGTTGCGGCCATGCTGGTGGAGGCTTTTCAATATCCCAGGTGAAATTCTTGGGGCCATCCCAGAAGCCATGTCGGGAGGGTTTCCAGTAATCGGTGCCGCTGATGACGTAGCTCCGCTGTTCGGGCTCGGGGAAGTATGGGTGAAGTGCACCCATTCGGAAGTGCATGAAGCCCAACGGAGGGTTATTGATGATATTACCAGCGACAACGAAGTCTTCCGGATGTTCGATTTTTCGAGTGACAAGGTTAGGGATAGCATTATCATCAATCCAGAGCTAGAGAAGAACGAGTCAGTACCTATCGCCATACCAATGGCAAGAGATCCTCCGCGAAAGCCAAAATAAAGCCAAGGCAAACATACAATATCGTCGTCAATCTTGACATAGTACTTGCCACGCTCCAGGAGTTGCCAAGCCTTGTAATACGTATATGTCGATAAGTGCTTTTCGGGGATAATCATCTTGTGTCTCGCCGGGTTGCTAGAGATTATCTCGTCGAGGTAACGGAGATCTTCCTCGTTTTGGGTGTTAACAATCCAGAGCACTTCATCGAGCCAACCTCCATTATCAGCCAAGTTTCGCTGTATAAGACCCAATTAGCCGCCATGGCTTCGGTTACGACCTTTCTTAGATACTGACCTCTATGTAGCATTGCATGCTTGATACCCTGCTCTTGCGACCATAAAAGACGAATCCGCTAACAATCACACCCTCGGGCTTGACAAGCGGTTTCAGTGGGGGTGCTTTGGTAAAGCCCATGACCTCGACGGCTTCCCATGGAATGGATAAAGAAGGGCGAGATTGGAATTGAAGTAGAAATCCGGCCAAAACGAGAAAACCAGTGGCGACGACGGCAAGTTGCAGCGGCTTGTGGCGAATCAGGAACCGTCGTAGGACTCCCATCATGAACCGTGGAGTTGTGGAGGAAAGCTGGTGCAGAAACTACAGATAGCAGGTGGCCCGAGTTAATACCACAATATCTTTTAATTTGACAACCTGTCGGCTTTCGGGGTAAGATTGCCATGCACAGCGATTGCGTCTGGACTCTTAGAAAAAGGCAAAGGCTAAAACCTGGGTTGGTGGCTGTTCCGGCTTGTGAGCGCAAATCGTTGGGCTGAATGATCGTCTCGAACGATTGGCCAAATGCAGAACCGCCCTAAAACTGTTCGTTCTGGGCCTCAGTAGGATCAGGCTTTCTGGGAACGGATCCTTTGATGATGCAAGGACCAGTCGATTGCGTAATTCAGTTACGCAAATGTGTCAAGTTCCTCCTTTATGACAAGAGCCTGACACGTCAGGAGCTGTCACCGGGCGGGAGACGCGTGTCCCAAGCCATTAGATGCCAGAAGCTTTGCGCCCACCTCATTAGTAAGGCCACCCCAGAGCTTAAAATCAAACTTGGACAGATTGTGTTGGATTGGGGCCAAAATGGGGGGTGCCAGGATGATTACAAGAGTGAGGTGAAACACCCAGGGCGTGTCCGGCTTGTGATGGTGGGGTATTCCCAACTGGTGAACTGGGCTGTGATGGTTTATGTTGGAAGATGAATCAGGCCGTTGTTCTGAGCAGAGGTGAATATCAGCTCTGGCGTTAGATAGGTAATGCGGGTGAGGTTGAATGTTATAACCAAGTTATATTGACAGCTGGGACGCCAGTTTATATCAAAGGGCGAGTGTTTTTATACACGTGATACGAAATAACATCCTTCGCAATCGGGTCGAACCTGTCTTGGGTGCACGGTTCTTCCATTTCCCAGACCCTGCCGCCTCCAACCGCCTGGTCTGACGTTAGGTCATGGTACATACCACTTACGGGACAGCCAAGTCCATAACAAATAAGTTATAGAGTTACATTCAATATCCCGATTCTCCCATGGCTAGGGTTAGAACAGAGTAACTATTAACTATCTAAGCTATTTTGCCCTAGGGGTTTCTTCTAGCTAAGATATAGCTTATAGATAAAAGAGAGGAGATTTTTCTAAGAAATAATAGAAGAAAAAGCATAAGAGATATAACTAGGAAAGAGGTATAGCTAAGAAAGAGAAATAGCTAGGGGAGGGATATAGCTAGGGGAGAGGTATAGCTAAGAAAGAGATATAACTAGGAAAGAGGTATAGCTAGTAAGAAAAAGGCAAAGAGATAAGAGATAAGAGATAAGAGGTAAAAGGTAAAGAAAAGCCTTAAGAAGCCCTAGAAGTATTCCAGATCGACCTAGCTAGGTTACTAGGGGTATCTCGGGCTATAGAAGCCGCCGAGGTCGCCCTAGTCCTCATCAGGGCAAGGCTAATAGAGGAGTCTAGCTGGTTAGCCGCAAGGGGGCCAATAAGGTCCTGGAGCTTCTGATAGGTCTTAGCTGTCTCTAGGTCCATAAGGCCACCTGCTGAGAAGATGAGAGGCTGAAAAAAGGCCCCGAGAGACCTATATTTTCTGCGTTTTTCTTCGGCAGCCTCTCTAAGGGTACTATAAGGGTCTTCTTTAGCAGAATCCTTTGAAATAGCTACGATTTGAATATCATAGTAATAGCGGCTATTTCCTAGGTTAACTGCAAAGTCGGCCCTTAGGCTAGCTTCTGGGTGGACTAGGGGTTCTTTTTCGACCTCTAGGGTAGGCTGGCTACTTAGGGCCCTTATAAAGGCCCTAGTTATAGCGTCATGCCTTGCAATCCACCTTCTATTAGCACCCTTGCAGGTATCCTGATGGCCTAAGGCAGCTATAGCTCCGCAAGAGCTACAGGGTAGGCTGATAGGCTTGATTGGGTAAAAGAGCCGGCTTCGGAGGGCTTCAGTGACCTCGGAGTCTGTGAAAGATAGGGCTTTTTGGGTAGGTAAGACTCCGAGCCACTTACGGCCGAGATAGCTAGCATTTTCTAGCCTAGCATGCCTATAGCTAGCGGGGAGGTCCTCTAAGAAGCCTACTAGCCTAGCCTTATTAGCTTCTTTTAGCACCTGTTGGGCTGTTTTCCCTAGTCTAGGCTGGCCTTGGTTAGGCTGGCTTTGGTCTAGGGTAGGCTGGGCTAGGGGCTTCCGGATGAGGTCTAGGGTAGGCTGCGAGGCCTCCCTAGCTGCTAGGAATAGCTCGTGGGCTAGGTCCTTGTGTAAGGGTATTCCTAGGCCTCCCTCTCTAGCTGGAAGGGCTATAAGGCTTGAATTAGGCTCCTTAGGGCACTCACTAGGGCTTCTAGCCACTAGGGCTATAATAGCCTCTCTTATAAGGGTATCAGCCTCTTCCCAAAGGTCTTCTAGCCCGGTTGGGTCTAGCTGCCTCTGGAGGTGCCTTAGAAGAAGCTGGATACTGCCTCTAAGAAGAAGCAAAGAGTGCTGCTTTGGAAGGTCTTGCAGGGCCTCTAGGGCTTCCTGTAGGGTAGCTAGCTTTTCTTGCAAGAAGGTTCTTTTAGGCCGGATAGGGCCGATATAAGTACCTAAGGCTTTTAAGCCTTCTAGCTTAAGGTCCTCTATAGCCTTTTCCTTGCTTTTAGCTAGGTTAAGGCTAAAAGGGGAGCCTTTTAAGACCTCCTTAGCTGCCTCTAAGGTGCCTTGCGGAGCCTTATTAAGTATATAGAGGTCATCTAGGTAAGCTACTAAGGTTGCCCTAGGTAGCTTCCTAGCTAGGGCCTCTAGGGTAGGTCGAAAGGCAAGGGAAAAAAGAAGAGGTCCGAGAGGGTCACCTTGCCTTACGCCCTTGGCCGAGGCTATAGCTGACCCATCTTCCATAACTAAGATAGAAGGGTCATTATAGGCCCAAGCTGCTGCCTTATAGAAGGTAGGGGCAAAAGTAGCTACAGAAGCAGCTATAGAAGCCCTATCTACTGAGTTAAAGGCATTAGCAAGGTCTATAGAGGCTAGCTGCTGAAAATTAGCCTCATTTAAGCCTATAATAGCCTCATAGAGGAGGAAAATAGCGGGTTCAACCCCGCCTGGGCTATTCACGCCTAGCTGGAAGGGTAAGAGCATATTCGGCCGATAGGAGGTCATTAGGATCGCCTTCATAGCTACCCTATAGATAAGATCTCCTATAGCTATAGGTCTAACCCCTCCATCGGGCTTTTCAAGCCCTATAAGGCGGCTAGCGCATAATAGGTGGGCTCTAGGGGCCGTGCCTTGGCGAATCATATTAGCTAGCAGCCTTAGGAAAGCTATCACAGGGGAATCTTTCCTAGTTACTAGGTCTAGAAGAGGCCTAGTCCAGCCACTAAGGCCCGGGGCCTTTTCCTTGCCTATAGAGGCTATAGCTGCTATAATAGTCTCTGACGTGATTGGTTGGCCGGCCCTTGGGCGGGTCTTGCCTTGGAAGGGGTCTTTTGATCCAATAGGGTGCTTTTCTAGCAGCCTAGCCCTATTTTCTACTGAATTAGGTGCTATAGGGGTCGGATCAATAAGAGCCCTAGCAGCCCGGCCTAGGTAGCCTCTCTCTAGTAGCTTAGTTGCCCTTTGGGCCGGGCTAGGAGCTATAGAGGGTCTAGCTGCCTTGGGGGGCTCGGGGGGCTGCTGGAGAGATTCTAGGCTCTCTAGGGTAGGTAGGTTAGAAGGGAAGGACCTAAGGAGGCTAGCTAGGCCTCCTTTCTGTAACCCTAACCCTAGTAGCCTAGGCAAGATAAGGAAATATAAGAGGGCCTTTTCAGTAGGCCTCTTTAGAAAGGTAGCTGCAGCTTTATGGGCTGTAGCTGTGAAAATAGCAGCCTGCCTTGCATGTAGCCTTTTTTCCGGTATAGGGATCCTTGCAAAGGCTAATAGCTTCTGCATAGAAGCCTTGGCTAGGATTGGGGCTATAGCTTGGTTGTGTAGCTGCTCTAGGGTAGGCCCCTCTAGGGTAGGCTCCTTGGGCTCGGGCTCTAGGGTAGGCTCCTTGGGCTCGGGCTCTAGGGTAAGCTCCCTAGGCTCGGGCTCTAAGGTAAGCTCCCTAGGCTCGGGCTCTAAGGTAAGCTCCCTGGGCTCCCTAGGCTCCCTAGTCTCTAGCTCTAGGGTAGGCTCCTCTAGGGGCCCTAGAGGCTCTAGGGTATATTCTTCTAGAGGCTCTAGGGTAGGTCCCTGACTAGAGGGCCTGTGGCTAGGCGTGCTAGGGCAAGAGGAGCTAGAGCTAAGGGACCTAGGGCTAGAGGGTCTTCCCCTTTCCTCATAGCTAGAAAAAGACCTATAGCTTTCCCTTGAGGCCGGTCGGTCTAGGGTAGGCTCCTCTAGGGTAGAGTTAGGCTGTAGCTGCCTTTGCCGCCTAGTAGGTCTTTGTAGCTGTGGAGAAGGGGTCCTTGCTAGTCTCTTTCTTCCTATAAGGCCTCTATAGCTAACTAAGCCCGGGCTAGCCTGATTAGGACTAGTGGGGCTAAGGGAAGAAGCTAAAGAGGCCCTAGAGGTATTAGTGGCCCTAGTAGCTATATAGGTCCTTGGCCTAGGTAAGGTAGAAATATGGGCTTTACCTTCTATGCCGTGGATCTTAGCACTATGGGTCTTGATGCCGTGACTTCCGCGGCAGGCTGTGCCGCAATAAGGGCAGCTGACTAAGCCAAGGGGCTGTAGCTGTTGGTTGGTATAGGCCTCGGCCGGGTGTTTTTTGCGTATATGCTCTAGGGTATCTCTATAGCTGCCTTGGCAGGTAGGGCATACCTGCGAGGGCATTTTACTATAGGGTAGCTAGAGGTATAGGGTAGGTATAGGGTAGCCGAGGTATAGGGTAGGTATAAGGTAACTAGAGGTATAAGGTAGCTATAAGAAAGAAGATAATAAAGAGAAAATAGCTATAAGGTAGCTAAGATAAGGCTTAGAAACTAAG